GAATTGTTATTTATATACTGCCAATAAAAGATGAAGTACCCTGCATATCACCTAATGTTTAACCGATTTTTTTTCCTAAGTTTATTTTCATTTAATAAAATTTTACATTGTGTAATCAATTATGTCAGTTTTTGAACTTATCAGTTCAATTGTAAAGTATTTTTGGCATATTTTTTTCAAAGCTCCCCAACACAACTAAAATAATAAATTGTTACGACATAAACATATGAAAGCATTTGACATTTCAATACCGTATATACATTAGAAAAAATGTTATGATATGAATAAAAAAATATCACTAGTTTTGCTTTTTATTAAACGAATAACTCCATCAACACGTATTCTACCTTTGCAAACAAATTAATGAAGCGATATACGCGGGTATTTTCATAGCAATTGCCCATGACTTATTTTTTGTGCTTAATAGAGTTATTTTCCGTTTTCATGGTGGTTTGTACAAATCCGTATGTTTTGTCTTCAGCGGAATTTTTTAAGTTTTTTGCTGTACGCTGGTTAGTTTTTCTTATTTTCGCTTCGGCAATATAACTTTTAAAAGATATTATCAGAAATACACAAGTTCTTATTCAAATTAAAGATCACATGTATAATATTTTTTGATCTTGTTGGAGTTTTGCAAACTGTCTGCCTACAATTTACAACTTTTGTTATTTATGAAAATTGAAAAACGTGTCTACATATTTTCCAAAAATATTCGGTAGTAAAGTTAAAGTATCTGAACTTAAAAAAATATCTGTGAGATTCATAGCAAGTGTCTATGTTCTAAAGATATAATATAAATGTTGTATGTATAGTATTTCAATTACGTACATATGTATGGAATATATACTTGTACTCACTATCAGCAATCGTAGCAAATTGTTTAAGTATAAATTTCATAGTTAACTAAAAGACGTTATCAATTAACCGTAAACTTTGTATACCAAAAGCCAATGCAACAAACAACAACAACCACATATGAGGAAAACAACTGCACCTTACACTAATTGTAAAGGACACCAAATGTCAACATAAATTTCAACACTTAGACAAGAATAAAAGATTGATCCACTTGCTATTATTTTCAAACAAAGACAAGTGAGTGTTTGCAGGTATGCATATTAACTGCTTTGCGAAGAATGTAGACAAGCAGATGAGTTGAGGGCAAAGGTGTTTTGATTTGCCGTTTGATAAAGGCAAATTGTCCAGTGTTTTAAATAATAAGTGTTCGGTATTTTAGACAGACCAGCGGCTGAATTTCGCGTTGACGTTGGCTTTGCATTTTGCATGCCATTCACAGTAGTGTGCAAAAATAGTACTACCGTGTATGAAACATGGATAAGCTGTTTGGTAAGGCAGGCAGCTGTTGATGTGTGACACAAAATTAGTCAAGTAACATACAGAGTTTTACTACAGCTAGGAATGAAAGTTTAACCACTAGCAAGCAAAGGTGTAGTTAGAAATTATACAGATTTTAAAAAAACTTGTATTTAGAAACTTAACCTTAAGCAATGATTTTGATATTAGAGAAATTTTAGATTGTTAAATGAAAAAATAAAACAACAGTTAAAGTCATTTTAATCGTTTTTCGACGATCTCAAAATTTCGCTGATGAACTTTTAATTTCAGATTTTTATAATTTTCTTTACCGATATATATTAATTTTGATTAATTGTATAATAAATCAGTATTTTTGAGCCAAAATAAATAAAAAACCACATAATCATTATTTTTCATATTTCAAAGATCATGATTAATGATTATTAGGGATTGTTTTTTTTTTTGCGATATATTAAAATATTAATCAAAATTAACCTTTATTGGTGACGAAAATCGTTAAACTCAATAGAGGTATAATCATTATTACGTGAGTTTTAAAGTAAAACTTATATTAATTACGGTCTTTGAAAAAAATATTGTAAGATTATTATAATTCTGAAAATTTAATACAAATATATTATTATTTATTTTATAAAAAATAGATTTTTCAAAGCTTACAAAAATTTCAATTATTGCAAATTTTTACGAAAACGATTTTAATGAAATCTTCATTTTACATTTTTTCAAAAGTTTGCCTAACTTTAGGGTGACAATAAAAATGTATGACAAATATATTCATATAATAATAATTATGCGGCATATGAGAACATAATTATTAAATGCCTATTTTTAATAAAAATATTAGGAAATAATTTTTATTCAGCTTTTATTATTTTTAATGATTTTCATGAGTTTCTGATAGTATAAAAATTATAATAATGAACTTATAAAAATGAATAAATGTTGGAACTTTGAGAATATTTTATACATATATTTAAGTATCACTTTATAATTTTTGAAATATTAATTTGCAAATCATCGTACATACAAGTATAAGCGATCTCATATTGCAGGCCACAATCAGATTCAGTATTTTGTGTACATTCTGGAAGTCGCAATTTCAATTCAAATCAAACAAGGTAGGAATTTACGTTTATTATATGTTTCTCTCCCATATGAACCAAATTGGTATCAAATAATAGAAAATGTAGTATTTTACAGGGGTCAAAACAAGTAATCATGATTTTGTTATGCCTTTTTTAACTTTTTTTATTTACCATATAAAAAAGTTATACCATAAAATAGTAACTGTCAATTTTTAAAAAGGCAGTCGTGACACCTGTAATCTGTAAAAACATCCCGTATTAAATTAATCCACATATACCAATAAAATGAATCCGAAAATATGAAGATACGCGCCATTTCCTACGACTTTCCGTGTCGTCAATTTGTGGCAAACAATCCACATGGCAAATGGATCCAGTTTATATCTTAAATAACCTCGATTAGTATTGGTCTACTGTTTGCCAAAGCGCTTGCAACCAATCAGCGCAATGGTCAACTAAGGACACCTACGTGAAGGCATGATCTATTTGTTCGAATGATATTAATGTATGCGTCTGCGTTTGAAAAGTGATGAAGGATTTAAATTACGTGCAGGCTAATTTAACAAGGCTTCGCGATATGTTTTTATCGGTTTCTGTTTACTGACATTGCTGCTGACATTTCTAGCTTTGGGGCAACGTATGGACACGTATAGCGAAACGTTGAGGTGGTTGTACAAAATGGAACGAAATCAACGACCGATGATTTTGAAACGAAGGTCAAACTAGTACAAATTAACTTGTAAATGGATTATAGTTGAAATGTTTTGGATCTTCAAAAACAATTGGGAGTTACTTTTCCCACGAACAAATCTTCTGCCCGAGTGGCAAGACGCTTTTCCGTGCAGTGAATGGATTTACGTTTTTATGGTGCGTAGGCGTAATATCATATCATATCTGACCGCCAGTTATCTAACATCAATTAATAAATCCGTGCATTACAAGCACTAACAGTAGTTATGGAAATTTCGAAACATTGGTCGATTGGATTTGTTTTTGACAATTAGGTAAGAGCGATGAGTGAGTTGTGAGAAAGGTTAGACGACACATTAATACTTTGAGATGAAGTGCAAGTATCAGAACTACAGCGGTTACGAATTATTACTTTTTATTCAATTGATTATATGTTCTTTATGTCTTACTCACTTAATATCCGGGATACAGAATGCACTTGTCACGTTTGTTTCAAGAAAGGCCGCTCTGACAAAATACAGAGTTCAGATATAGGCATTTCGTATCCAAACATTTTTTGCCAAAAATCTTCCTAAAACTGTGACAACTTATGTCAAAATTTGTTAATAATTTAAAATTTTTTTGAACTTTTTTAACAACTATTTATTTGCTTGTTTTACAGCGGCTTTTTGCAAACATACCACTTTTTCCGAGAACCATAACTATTGAATCATACGAAATAATAGTGTTAATGAAGAATACCAAAAGGTTTTTATGTACATCAATGCACCGTTTAATTAGCAAGTACCGGAAACTGGCAACACCTAAAAATCTTAAATATGTGAATTAGATAGCAATGTTTGCATTTGTTATGTTTCGTTTTTCGCCTCTATTTCAACAGATTGGGTCCTTTGTACTACCTTGCTATCTGCTTCGCCGATGCCGGAACGCTTCTGATGGACGAATATCCGTTTCCACTTTAGCCATCGTATATATGCTAACTGCGAGTTATATTGGTGGCGCAGTGCTCTCTCCTCATACAAAATTTCTTTAACCACGATGATTGTGCGTGTATTGGACTTGGTCATCAGCTTGTGATATGCAATTTTACATCTTCAGTATAATTCTACTCTTCATCTATGTAAAGTAAGGACACATGCGTAATATATAAATACTTTTAATTGCCATATATCTAATTAAAATTCTCTTACAGACACCCCAAAACGGGCAAAGCTCTCACTCTCGCCACTGTAGTAGCAAATTTGGTTTATACCATCTATACCGCCATCACAATGAATTATAAATATTCCTTTGAGACCACATCGGTGCTATTCACGGAGCTCTATATGAATCCGATATCACGTGTCCTGGCCTACGTAATTGGCGGCGTGGCTGGCCTGCTTTTCGTACAAAAACAACAGAAGCAATTCTACGCGCATTTCTTTCAAGAGTTTCTCGCTTATTTGGCGATCATTTGCTTCTTTACTATCAATTTCTTCAGAATATCAGGAGGTTACTCAGTAGGTTTCTATGTGGTATTGTTGATCGTTCAACGAGTGTTATTTTCGTCGAGTGTTTGTTTCCTTATATTCGCAAATGCGGCGGGTAGTGTGAAGTGGTTCTTTGGCATATTGGAGAATCCAATCTTCAAGAAATTCAATCAAATTACTTATGCTCTGTTCCTGTTAAATCCATTACCCATTGTGGTACTAGTTAGCTCGAATAATGCAACTCGCTATACCAGTCTATATAATTTAGTAAGTTCGTGTTTGGTTGTTCTTTTAAATTTTTATATTTAGAATGTATACCTTTCTTATATTTTCAGGTAATCGAATACATAGGCATTTGCGCGGTACTTAACTTCCTCAGCGCAACTTTCTCCTTATTTTTCGAAGTACCCTATAAGAATATTTCCAAAATGTTGGTCCACCGCACTAAAACAAAGACGAACTAAGCAAAGTATACTAGCGCGAACTGAGATGGAACTAAATCTAAAAGTATAAATGCATTTATTGTAACAATTAAAGCATTTTATGCAAAAAATATATGTATACATTCATATTTAAGACAATTTAAAGAAAAAGACAACTTAGGTTTACCATAGATTAGTATAGTTTGTTTGATTTTATAGTCATATAATTTGGTAGAAGGATAGCTGTCAAAATGAGTCATCGAAGAAAACACATGTATTTGACATCTCTGTACTGTACTCTTTAGCTTTTCATCTAAAAAAAAAAAAATACTGTGTAATGGCACAAGAACGAAATTATAAACCGTGCAGAGCTTTAAACAATTATATAATTATATATAACTCTTGTTGACGGAATCGTGAAAGGTATTGGCAACTGGCCATCAAGATCATGTGACTTAACGTTGTAAGATCAAATTTATAGAGGAACCACATACCAACTGACTATGCTAATAAACCTGCTAGAACTAGCTTTAATGAGATACGGCTTTGATGGAAGTAGTGCAAATGAGACCGACGGGGTCTTTATCAGTTGCAATACATATGACCGAAATTTGTTTAAGTTTAGAAAAATTACAAATTAATATATGGTAAAAGTTTTAACTATTCACCTCTATGTGAAATGAAATTTTAAGCTCTTAAAATATACAACGAAACTGCACACAAAGCCTTAATTAGAGAAATGTAAATTAAACATTTTTGACAAGGGTCTGTTTTCAGCTATCATAACATAATTCGATGATCAGACCCGCCGACTTTAAGGTGGAATATTTTATATCTCTCAGACGAATTAACATATGATTCGTGATGAGTTCCTTAGCACAGCTCGAAATCTAATAAAATCATACCTCAATGGCATCTTTTTCTCATAAAATACCATTTACAATCCCATGGCCATAATGAAACATAGCCAACTCAAGCATCAATAAAAATACCGAAAAAACCTTAGCATATATAATAGGCATGATGGCTACCAACTTTTACCGGAAATGCTGCCGATTGCATTGATATATGTATATATAATCTATAATGTATAGATTTAGGCTCAGTTTGACTAAAAAGTTACTCAATAATATAAATCGTTTCGATCTGTCTGTAGAAATTTTCATTGTTTTTCAATGTTCTACTGCTAGAGTACAACAGTTTGGAGATTATTTTCCAATATAGGTTGAATAGCCAATGAAGTGGACAGAGAGTTGATAACTTTATTATTAACTTCTTCTTAAAATAGGAATAGAGTCATTATATTTTAACCATTCTTTAACTGTCCTTCTTTACTTGCTGTTCATTAATTGTAATATCCCTTATATACCATAATAGAATTATTTCTCTCTTCAACATTTTACATATCATGATCCTATACAATGCCATAGGTATTCGCTGAGTGAAGCAGATTACTCCTTTTTTAAAATCTGTACTGAAATCAAAAAGACAAAATTATCAGTCATTGCCGATAATTATCTTCACATTTCTCTTTTCGACTAACCTTCAGTAAAACCGACATGCTGACAATAATATAATATTATTGTATAGTAAAAAATTTTCAAAAACATTTCATTCTTAAACGCAAGCGCATCACCAAAAAGCACATAAACAGAGAAAAATAAATAACTGTAATGCGACATCGGCATATAAACGAGATAGATAAAAGTTTCTATACAAGGGTCTATAGTTGATCCGATATTGGCGATTTCCGAAAAATAAGCAGCTTCACACTATATTTATAGGTATATATATATTTGTAGAGTCTTTTTAGCAAAGAAGCAGGAGGAGCGTGAAAGCCTGCGCAACAAATGCAACAAACAATTTGGCACATTTGGCCGAAAAGTAACAAATTTATAATTAACTTAATTAGTTAATGCTTTTTAATGGCAACTGCTGGCTGTATTTCTCTGTAAGGTAATGGAGGAGGCGAGTGCGCTGGCGCAACGTGTCAAAAACGTGATTAAGCCCATTCAAAGGGCAAGTGAAAGGGCAATTTTCAAGTACACAATTTGTTTTGCACACGCATACGCCATACCAGAGTGCTGGCAATTAACTTCGTAATGCATGCGCATATATTAATGGGGAATATACTTCTATCGCTTTAAATACAGCGGAATAGCGTGATAAGCAAAGCTTACGAAACACCTCCCTGTCTCCTTGACTCATAACTTATGCTTAAATTTATTTCTGATTTTATTGTTTTTTGTTTAAGCGCTTGCTATCATTTGAATTTATGGCTGTTGCTGGTGACAGCTGTAAATTTAATGACAACGCATTTGGCATCACTATTGCAATAGAACACTATTTGCTTGGAGTCTAGCACAAAGGTTTGCGAAAATTTATCATTTTAAAATTCCAGTAACATTCAATATATTTTTTTTTGTAGATTTTTAAGAATTGCATTAAAAATGCGAGGAAGAGGAGGAAAAGTACTCGAATTATATTTGAGTTGTAAAATTTACTAAGTTTTTTATAAAACCATATGAAAAATAAGAACTAAAACTGTTTACTGGTCGAAGATTTATGCTTAAAGTAGGGAATAAAACAAACTTTCCATAAAAGATTCTAATTTCAGCACAAAAGATTCTAATTTTCTAAACAGCTGTGTACGACAATGTGAATTTGAAAACAACGGACCATAAAAGGTAATTACCTTTCTAATAGGTTTAAGGCGTTATTTCTATATATAATTTGAGAAAAATTACTTTTTTGCATATATGAATATCGAATGTAACTATATTTGAGACTATACTGCGAAAATTTTGATTGGGTTTATTGGGCCAAGATATTTCGGAGATATGAGCTTATTTGTGAATTTCTTTTTAACCTAGTATAATCAACTCCTAAACTTAAATTTGTTTTTCATTTGGATAGGAAATTTCTCAGAGGTCAACACTTTCAAAATGAATCCCTATTATTATAGTACTTAAATACGTTATTTAAATAATAAAATGCCCCTAAAAATTTACAAAGCATTCTAATGATTTTAAGAAATTTACACAGCTCTTCGAATACAATTACAAGGTCTTGCCTAAAGGGTTTTTTTCTGTTCAATTCATAACTATTAAAAAAAAGAAACAAAAAATTTGAACGTTTTTTGACCAAAACTAGCATTCTTATCAAAGATTCCGCAAACAATATAATTTGTTTTTTTTTTTCCTTCGTCCAATACCAAGTTTATGGCGAAACACGATTTTTTCTTACTTCATATGATTTTTGAAAGAAGTAACGTTGTCAACTCGGAGACAGACCTTTTTCCGAAGGACTGCCGGAAATGACGTCGTAATTTTCGAGTTTTGAATATTTTCCTAGGTTTTTCCTATATTTCATAATCAGGTAAAATAACTATCTTTGAATAATAAAAAGTTTGAATAAAATGTTATTTGCTATATGATGAACAAAACAAAAATCTTGAAAATCGGCAGCTTTTGATCGAAGAAACCATGTATGAAAGTTATTGTCGAAACGGCAAGTAACAAACTTCATTAGCCACATCAAAGGTTTTTAAGTATCTGGAGATACATAGTGAATATTTTGCTCTTCAAAACAATTTAAATTTAATTTGTTATTTATATACTGCCAATAAAGATGAGTACCCTGCATATCACTAATGTTTAACCGATTATTTTCATAAGTTTATTTTTCATTTATAAAATTTTACATTGTGTAATCAATTATGTCAGTTTTTGAACTTATCAGTTCAATTGTAAAGTATTTTTGGCATATTTTTTTCAAAGCTCCCCAACACACTAAAATAATAATTGTTACGACATAAACATATGAAAGCATTTAAACATTTCAATACCGTATATACATTAGAAAAAATGGTATGATATGAATAAAAATATCACTAGTTTTGCATTTTATTAAACGAATAACTCCATCAACACGTATTCTACCTTTGCAAACAAATTAATTAAGCGAAATACGCGGGTATTTTCGTAGCAATTGCCATGACTTATTTTTGTGCTTAAAAAGTATTTTCCGCTTTTATGTGGTTTGTACAAATCCGTATGTTTTGTCTTCAGCGGAATTTTTAAGTTTTTTGCTGTACGCTGGTTAGTTTTTCTTATTTTCGCTTCGGCAATACATTTAAAAGATATTATCAGAAATACACAAGTTCTTATTCAAATTAAAGATCACATGTATAAATATTTTTTGATCTTGTTGGAGTTTTGCAAACTGTCTGCCCACATTTACAACTTTTGTTATTTATGAAAATTGAAAAACGTGTCTACATATTTTCCAAAAATATTCGATGGTAAAATTAAATATCTGAACTTAAAAAACTATCTGTGAGATTCATAGCAAGTGTCTATGTTCTAAAGATATTATATAAATGTTTGTATGTATAGTATATTTCACCACGTACATATGTAAATATGATTATACTTGTACTCACTTATATCAGCAATCGTAGCAAATTGCTTGGCATAAATTTCATAGGTTATCCAAAAGATGTTATCAATTAACCGTAAACTCTTGTACTACCAAAGCCAATGCAACAAAACAACAACAACCACATATGAGGAAAACAACTGCACTCACACTAATTGCAAAAGGACACAAAATGTCAACATAATTCTCACATACCTTGTTGACAAGGAAAAAGGATGCTTACTTAAGCATCAAAAACAAATAAGAAACAAGTGAGTGTTGCAGGTATGCACATATTAACTGCTCTGCTGAAGAAGTGTAGGACAAGCAGAGTTGAGTTGAGTGGCAAAGGGTTTTTGATTTGCTGCTTCTGATAAAGTTAGCAAATTGTCCAGTGCAAGCTTGTAAACAATAAGTGTTCGGTATTTTAGACAGACCAACGGCTGAATTTCGCGTTGGCGTTGGCTTTGCATTTTGCATGCCATCACAGTACAGGTTCAAATTTTCAAAGTGAGAGTGAGTGTGGAATTTTCTAAAGAAAGTTAAGGATTCCAGACGCTGAATAGACTCCCACAACAGGATATAAAGTGAAATTGTAAAAACAAGAGAATACATATAAATATATATAATTCCAGAAGAAACAAATTTAACTTATAATATTAAAAACGTTTCCAAAGGACTTTACAACTAGTTCTAAGATAACTTAATCGAATTACGAATATCATTGAATTACTTAAAATAAATTAACAAAAATTAAAATTGTCAATATGTTACAAGTGAAGCTTTATCAAGTGCTGGTGTTATTCACACTACTTTGCTGCGTATGTACCACAGTGAAAAAAGTGGGTCCTAACAGCGACCAATACGAACTAATGCAGCGTTCGTCAATACTTTTCGGCCTGGCAGTCATCAATCGTCCGAATATGGTGAGCCAAAACTGCTATACGCAACTCCAGGAAGTACAGAAGGCTATACTAATGCAACAGCCATGGGCCATGAAGAGTAAGTGCTTCCCTTCACAACCATTGAGATAGATTAAGGAATATAATGCTCGACGGAACCATATATAATTGTGGGATAAAAGTTCGTTATTCCTTTTAAAAATTCTTTTAGTCTTACTTTTTATGAGTTCTACAGCAAAAGGTAAATTGAAGTGGCTTTTGTAAAATGGTATCAAGATAAACTCAGTACAAGAGAGAAAAATATCCGATCGCCTCGAGAAATTTCAAAATTATGAAGAATTAAGGAAAAATATTATCCTGTTGCTAGTTTTAAGTAACAAAAGTAGTTCAAATTTTTTCACTTAGCAAAA